AAATTATAATAAGAAAAATTGAATTAAATAAATTACGCAACAAAACAAAAAAAAATTAAATAATTAATTTGATACTAATATCGATTATATTTTTCTAATATTTTAAGATATTTTCAAATTTAGATTTTATTTAAAAATAAAAACATTATCGTTTTTTTCAAAACCACATAAAACAGTATTATAACATCGACAGAAAACAAAATAAAACGAAATATTAAAATCGAGATGTATCTCATTGGATTCCACGACTAGCCTTCTAGTTATATTATAAAGTATTTACGATAATTTTTCAAAAACTACTTTTTATACATCTAGTAACGTTTATTAATACATGTTATCTAAAATTCAAAATTACAAGTTGATTAAACATTGGTACAACTTACTAAAGTTTATGTTTGAATTCGTATAACTAAATGTAGATAAACATAATCAAATACAGCATAAACATCTCATTTTAAATATAAAATAATATAAATATAATTAAAATAATTATTGAGTTCTTACTGAATATTTAATTATTATATAAAAGTATTATTTAAATTTAAGATTACAAGTGAATGGTGCATAATTACAATTTTTTTATAGATATATGTTTGAATTCATATCTATACTATATTATAAAACATTTGACAAAACCTCTTAAAAACCATTTTTATGCGTAAAGTACTGTTTATTAATGCATATCACTTAAAACTCAAGACTACAAGTAGATTGTGCGTAAATACAACTTATTAAAGCTTCATATCTGAATTCGTGTAATTAACTGCAGATAAACATAATTAAATATAAGATAAACATCCAATTTTAAATATAAAAAATCTAAAATATAATTAAGATTATCATTATGCTCTAACGGAATACTTAATTATCTTTATAAAATGTTATACTATTAAACAAAAAAATAAATTATTTCATTATTAAACTTAAATTAAATTATAATAACAAAATAAATTAAAGAAATTACATAAAAAATGAAAACTTTTAATAGTTGATTTGATATTAACATTGATATTTTTTTTTCAAATTTTTATGATATCTTCAAATTTATATTTTATTCAAATATAAAATAATTATTGTTTTCTTAAAAGCACATAATCTATACTATATTATAAAACATTTGACAAAAACTCTTAAAAACCACTTTTTATGCGTAAAATATTGTTTATTAATGCATATTACTTAAAACTCAAGATTGCAAATAGATTGTGCGTAAGTACAACTTATTAAATCTCCATATCTGAATTCGTGTAATTAACTGCAGATAAACATAATCAAGTACGGAAAAACATCTCATTTTAAATATAAAAAATCTAAAATATAATTAGAATAATTATTGAGTTCTAACAGAATACTTAATTATTATCTTTATAAAATGTTATAT